TTACCTCCCTGACACCTGCAACCAGGAGCAATGGGCTCTGTAAAGCTCTACAAGCTCCCTAAAAGATGAAATTATCATTATCTGTAGTGGATTTTGTGTTTTCCCAGGCACACTGGAAGCAGGAACCAGTGAGGTGGGCAAAGCACAAGCAGTGGACATCACTCCCAGTGCTCTGAGTGGGTGTTCCTGCCCCTCCTAAGGGATTTTACTACAGCCTCAGGAATGCAGATGGGGAAAAGTGAGGGCAATGTGATAGCAGTATTACTGACATTTTTCCATAGGCATAGAACAATTTCTTTAAATAAATGCCCTCCCCCCGGTGAAACTGGGATTGGGATTGAGGTTGGTGGAGAACATCTGGGGAAGGGAGAAGACGTGGGTTGGGCTGTTTTTCTCAGATAAAACTGCAGTGATCGATTTTTAATTTCAGCTTTTAAATTCCTTTCCCTTTGCTGTGCATTAAAACTTAGTAAAACCATGATTTCCTTCCTCTCAAATTGAGATGGGGAACCTTTTCCTCTGGGCTTAGGGTAACTCCCCTCTGTCTTGTAGGAGATGACACCAGAGTCCACAGCTGAGGACATTGATGGAATTGAGAGGAAAAATTGACCTCAAACATCTGCAGAAGGCAACTTATGCTTGGTTTTCCAAGAAAATGGTGAGCAAAGAAGACTCTGGGATCATAAAATCATAGAATGGTTTGGGTTGGAAGGGATCTTAAAAATATGGGAAAGGAACAAGTCCAGAGGAGGCCATGGAGATGCTCCAAGGGCTGGAGCACCTCTGGAGACAGGTTGGGAAACCTGGGGGTGTTCAACTGGAAAAGAGAAGGCTCCGGGGAGACCTTAGAGCCCCTTTCAGTGCCTAAAGGGGCTCCAAGAGAACTGGAGAGGGACCTTGGACAAGGGATGGAGTGACAGGACAAGGGGGAATGGCTTCCCACTGCCAGTATCTGCATTTGATCATATCTCCATAAACAAGAACTTGTCTGGCAAGACTTGCCAGATATTTCCCAGTCCTCTGCACACAACATTTTGGAGGACAATGAGCTACACAGAACACTTCAGGGTGAGATCTGGGCTTTTTTAATGAAAGGATCAAACTCCACTTCCATGAGACAAGAGGAAACTACTGCAAATGTCATTGTTTCCCTCCACCTCTCATCATGGAATGTCTCTGCTCTACTTCCTTTTCCTGTGTGCCAGGCAGCAGTGCAGCCTCCCACAGTCCTCAGTGTGCTCCTCCTTCTCTCCTTTACCACATGTCCTGGAGCAATACCCTCTGCAGCTCTTTTTGGACTGGCTTTTGGCTGTGGAAAGACAGAAAGATGCACATCAACATTGACTAATTCATGGTCAACAGCACAGACCATGACACAGCCGAGTTCCCATGGAGACCCCTGGATGTTGGATGCCTAAATGTAGGATGGGATGATTCTGGAGCTGAACTCCACTCCGAAAGTCTTGAAAGCCAAACCCAACCCAAATCTCCACACAAGACCCACCACCCACACCTACTTTCCTGGGACAATAGTTTTTTCACAGAATCACAGAATGGTTTGGGTGGGAAGGACCTTAAAGATCATCCCGTTCCAAACCCCTGCCATGGGCAGGGACACCTTCCACTATCCCAGGATGCTCCAAGCCCTGTTTAGCCTGGCCTTGGACACTTCCTTGAACACTTTCACCTAAATTCCTTTATGGTTCACTATTATCCCTCATTTCTGCTCCACATAGTTTACCACCTTACCTGGTGTGGCCATCAAGGCCATGAGGAAAACTGCAAAGACAACATAGATGATCCTCATGACTGGATATCCCCTGGGATCACAGCAGCTCTGGGAGGCAGCCTGGCAGAGAGATCTTGGATCAGCTGCTGAGAAAAAGGCTGGAGACCCTGATATTTATAGACATTTCTTGCCAGGGAGGACAGAGTTAAGGAGGAGCGTGACTTTGCTGGTGTCCCAGGACACATTGTTTGCTGCTTAATGGGATCTTGTGTCACTCCAACCCAGTGGCCATCTGACAATGAGACGTCCACCCTGTGCCTGTTTGGCTCTTTTGAAGGCATCTCGTGTGGCCTGTGCAGGTCTCTCCCATGGGAGCTGGACTCCTCTCAGCCTGGCTGCCGAAACTTTTGGCACAGACAGCTGGAAGTATCAGTCCCTGCTCAGGGGACTTGGTGTTGGGTCATAGGAGTAGTTGTGGTGATCAGTGTTACAGCAATGACTCGGAGAGGGGTCTCCCTTCTTTTTCCCTTCCAAAACAGAGATCTGGGAGGACTGGGACCACACCAGCCAATGCTACCCTGTGCATTCCCAGCTGTGTGGCAATACCCAGACCCCCTGCTGGAATCCAAAATGTTGTGACAATGGACATGAAGGTTGTTATAAAGTTGAAATTTCTTTCCTACCAAAAAACCCTCTGGAATTCAGAAGGTGAATCCCAAACATCTGGGACTCAATCAGTTGCCTGAACACAGATAGCATCATCCAAGCCCTCCTGAAATTTCCCAAGTTTCTCCTATATCAGCTGGATCCAAGTGATTTGGAAGGCACTTTCTGCAGAAAGGATAAATAACAACTCAGTTTTAGTCTCTGAGTGTAGGACTTTGTAAACATATATTAATGGAATGTAAGAAAGCATTATGAATATATTATGAGCATATGTTAATGGAATGTAGGAAAGCAGAGGTGACCAGAGTGGCAAGTGACTTATGCCTTTAATGCCCACCCAAAATGTCCTTCACAAAAGATAGGAAGAATCATAAAATCATGGAATGGTTTGGGTTGGAAGGGACCTTAAAAATCATCTCATTCCAACCCCCTGCCATGGGTAGGGACACCTTGCACTAGCCCAGGTAACTGGCAGAAGAAAAAGAAGTCCTGGCATTTACATTTATATCAGACTGAGATTAATGTGTTCCTTCCCTCATTTCTTTCTCCATTCTGGAGAAGGAAAGAAATCCCAGAGCACCTCCAACCCAGGAAGAGGCTGAACCCAAGCAGAGACACTGTAGGTTGTGTTCCCTGGCAGTGAGGGAATGTTTGAGAGTGAACAATATTGGCACTTCATGATGACACCATTCCCTCTGGAATGGTCTGACGTGGCTGGGGCTGCTGCCCTGGAGAGAAAAAGCTGCACGAGCACTTGCTCCAAGCCTATCCACATGAACGGACTGGGAATAAGGGGATGTTTTACATCCAGCTGGACAGCACAGCTCTAAGATGCTGAGCATATCCCAGTCCCTGTGTATTTGCAGTTGTTCTCTCTGCACTGTATCCATTGCGTTGCAAGGTAAAAGCAGGAGGGAAGGAGAGGAGAAGATAAAGCTGAGGATTAAACTGATTCCAATTTTCCCAATCACCCCTCTAGGCTGTTCTCTGCCTAGAAGGGAAATGATCACTTGTTCCCTGTAGCTCCTCTGGTCCCTGACTCCTCTACAAATAAAAGGATCCATTAGATAGTTTGGTAATGCCAGAAGTTGACTCACAACAATTTCCTCTTGAAAAAAAACCCTCTAGCAAACACCCAGGTGGCCAATGGTGGTAGGCAGGATCATCCAGATCCCTCCTCAGGGAAGAGGAAGCAGAGCTGGTTGGAGCACCTTTTCCTTGCAGAAGCTGTTTCACTACTGGACTCTGTATTGGGTTTATGTGGCAAAGTTTTGGTAGCTGGGGGGTGGAATGGCTCCTGTGAGAAGATGCCAGAAGCTTCCTCAGTGTCCTATGGAGCCAACTCCAGCTGGAGCCAAGACAGAGTGTCCAGTGGAGCAAAGGCTGGGCCCGACAGTGACAGTGGCAGCACCTCTGGGATAACAGAGTTAAGATGGGGGGAAAAAACTTACACAGCTTCAATTCTGGAGAGAGGAGTAGGAACAAGTGAGAGGAGCAGCCCTGCAGACCCCCAGTCAGTGCAGCAGGAGGGGCAGGAGGTGCTCCAGGCACCGGAGCTGAGGATCCCCTGCAGCCCATGGAGAGGCAGCTGTGCCCCTGCAGCCCAGGGAAGTCCATAGGGGAGCAGAGATCCACCTGCAGCCCCTGGAGACCCCAGACCAGAGCAAGGGGATGCCCAAAGGAGGCTGTGATCTGTGGGAAGCCCAGGCTGGAGCAGCTCCTGGCAGGACCTGTGTCCCCATGGAGAGAGGAGCCCACGCTGGAGCAGGTTTGCTGGCAGGAGTTGGGATCCCACAGGGAACCCACACTGGATCAGCCTTTTCCTGAAGGACTGACCCCATGGAAGGGACCCACACTGGATCAGCCTTTTCCTGAAGGACTGACCCCATGGAAGGGACCCACACTGGAGCAGAGAAGAGTGTGAGGAGTCCAACCCTTTTGAGGAAGAAGGAGCAGCAGAGGCAGCATGTCTCTGACCACAGCCCCCATTCCCTGTTCCCTTGCTGAGGGGAGAGAATTCAGGAGTGAAGCTCAGTTTAGGAAGAAGTAGGTGGTGAGGAAAGGAGTATTTTAAGATTTGTTTGCATTTCTCATTCCCCTCCCTGACTTTGTTTCCCACCTCTGTGGATTTGCTGAAATTTTCATGGAAGGAGGGTTGTCTTGTGGTCAGGGGAGAGGGACATTGCTGAACCACCCCTATTTTTTAAGGTATTTGCAGATCACCTGTCACCTGAAAAAGCAGAAAGGAGCTTAAAAATTCCCTGTTGTCTCCAAAAGGTTGTGTTAATGGAGAAGGCAAGAGGGAAAATGATCCCAGGGAAAATAACCCTTTTTCCCAAATTCCCACACTTTCAGGCCACTGGCAGCTCTACTGCTCTTTGTCAGTGGAAGTTCAGGCTTTTTTTGGTGCTGATAAGCCTTTGGGCTGGGCTTGAAAAATCTATTTTAATGCTTCATGTGGGATCATGGGAACACCAGTAACCACACCACACACACCAGAGTTATATCTCCTTTTTTTCTCTTTTTAATTATTGAGAGGAGGGGGTGACAATGGGGTTACACAGTTGGGAATCTGCCCCCAAAGCCACCATGGTGCCTCCTCTTCCTCAGGTGCTTCCTGTTCAGCTCCTATTTCCCCTTCCAGACAGGTGGGATGCAGCAGTAGTTCTTGCAGTCAGCGGAGTAGGACCAGGTGTCCACCTTGGAGCACTGGTTGGAGCAGTACCCCAGGTTGGCACAGGTCTTCAGGACCTTCCCATAGCCTGCAGGATGACAGAGGGAGAGGGGTTGGGTCAGGAGAACTGCTTCTGTGCCCCTGTTTCCATGCCCTCCATCTCGTCCAGGTGTAAATGTGGCATCTGTGCCCCATTTCTGTGCCCTCCCATCCCCTCCAAGGTGGGTGACAGTGGTCAGCAAGATGAGACCCTGTTTGTAGGGAGGCCCTGCTCTGTTACCCCCCACATTTCCACATTTCCAGACCCAAAGATGGAAGGGACCTTGAAGGGCACAAGCCAGAGCAGCTCCCTGAATACCTCCCTCCCCTCACCTAACAAGTGCAGTTTGGGAAAGAGATGCTCCAGAGGAGAGCAGATTCAATCTCCTCATGAGAGACACCCCAAAAGCAAAGTTCATAAAGATGTTTTTCTGTGCACATTCGTTTTTCCTTGTCCTGTACCTCCCCTTAAAGGATCAGTGTTCTCAGAGCAAAGCAGCAAAAGCCACACCAAGGATGTTGCAAAGGGCTTAAAATTGGGCCTGCAGCAGCTTTGCACCAAATATTCACAGTTAAAAGGTTAAAAGTGGGTCAAGGGAAAGGCTTGGCCCAGGTGGGTGAGAATTGAATTCTGAAGGGGGTTTCTAAAGCCTGTTTGGGAGATCTCAGCCCCAAATCCCCTCTTGGCTCTTGTACAGGGACCTGAAAGCCTCAGAATCTCAGAAACAGCAAGAGCTATGGCACATCAGTAAATAAAACACAGTCATAGAATGATGGAATGGTTTGGATTGGAAGAAACCTTAAAGCTCATCTCATTCCAACCCCCTGCCATGGGCAGGGACACCTTCCACTATCCCAGGTTGCTCCAAACCCTGTCCAGCCTGGCCTTGGACAGTTCCAGGGATGGGGCAGCCACAGCTTCTCTGGGCAACCTGTACCAGGGTCTCACCACCCTCAGGGCCAAGAATTCCTTCCCAATATCCCAACTAAATCTACCCTCTTTTAGCTCGAAGCCATTAAACACACCCTGGACTGAGCCCTGGCAGAGAACTAAGTTGCCCAGAAGAGCCTCTCTGGCACTGTGGAATTCTCTGACTCCCCAGGAGAAGTGGCCACATCCAGACTCTTGTTTGGAATGGTCTGGCCTGGGCTCCCTCCCAGACTGGATACTGAAGTTTTTAACCTCAATTTCACAGAAATTTCACAGATTATTTCTATACGAATCCCTCTGAGGGTAGTTCTCATTTTATTGTCCCTTGAAAGAAGTCATTAAAGTACCTGGCCAGGTTACAGCAGCCACCTCAGAGGGTAAGAACGGTATTTGCAAGAGCTATAGTTATTTTAGAAGAATCCCAAAGAACATATAAAGCTCATCTCAGCCCTTCTTACCTGGAGCGGCCAGGGAGACCAGGAGGAAAACAGCGAAGACAAGGTACAGGAATTTCATGGCTGCGGTTGAGCTGGAATCTCAGCAAGGCTGGAGAGAGGAGGGTTGGAGACCTCAGAGGGAGGAGGTGATGTACAGGGAGGCTGCAGCTCCTGGTTTTTATAGAGCCTTTCCCTGGGGATGCTGGGGAGATGGGAATTCATCCAAGTGCTGTTTGGGGCTGGACGTGCAGTGATGGCACGAGAGAATTCCCTGTATGCTGGCAGCCACCTCCTCCCCCCAGAGGTGGTTGCCCAATATCAGATAGGATTTCAGCACTCCTTGGAACACAAAGGAATAGGGGCTGTCAATAGCAGAGACCTTAGGATGGGTCAGAGGGACCTGATGGAGATCTGTGGGTGCAGCGATGGAGGGAGAACAAGATCAGTATCACGGGGTTCCTTTCCCAAACTCTGGCAGGGATGCAGTGGGATGCAACAGGGACATGATGCACTGATAACTCTCCCTCCATTGTCCAGGCTGATCAACATGTGGGACTGATTGGAAAGGACCCACGTTCTCATCTCTGAGCCATCTCTAACAAACCTCCCTGATAAATTCATCAAACACCACATTCAGTGAAGTCTCTTTGGCCGCCCCCCCTCGCCCCTCTGATGGATGGGCTGGAGCACTGGGGCTGACAGCTCCCAGGAGCCTGGATGAGCCTTGGAGACACTTTGATCATCATCTTTTCCTCACAAAGCCTCCAGACAGTCCTGAGATTTTCCAACCCCAGTTCACTGGATTGTTTAATGGCTTGAGAAACAACCAGGAAAACAGGGGCAACCAGTGAAGAGACAAGAAGCTGCTGCTGCTGCAGAATTCCTCAATATCCTCAAACTTAAATCTGCAAAAGGCAGCAGATGAATCTTAAAACACTGAGTAACATGACAGCAAAACATCAAACCCTCAATCAGCATCAGTTTAAGGTTGAGAATTTGGAAAAATAGGTAATCTCTGTACAAATGGTGGGTCTGAATTACCTAAAACCAGTTAGGAAGGGGGTTTGGGAGTCCTGCATCAGTCTGTGGGGTGTCACAGTGGTGTGTGCTCTGCTCATCTTCCCGTCTCTGGTGGCCCCTGGTAGGGAAAGAAGAGGTTAAAAGAAAGGTGGCAGAGCTGGGGACTTGTGTTCATAAAATTAAGTATATTGGCACTTGTCAGCTTGGGGGGGAACACTTAGAGGAGGTGTATTACAAGCTGTAAAAATTCCAGAGGCCTAAGGAGGATAGAGCGACAGTTCTTCAATTTTTATAACCCAAGAAATAGGTGGGATACCAAGGCAAATCATGCATTTATCAAAAAAGTAACCAAACTGTCCTCTTTCACACTAAGCAGAGCTAAAACCTGGAACTTGAACAAGAAATTCAAGCAGTTAAAATGTATTGAAAGGACAAATGTATTGAGAAAGCAATTTGTAAATTAATGCAGCAGGTGCAAATTTAAAAATAAGGTATAAAAACTTCTTGAGGAAATCAACAAATTTCATGTTGCTGGAGGATGGAGAGTTTTACTGAGTGAGAACACATGTTCTTGGACTCCTTCCCAGGCACCCACTTCTGCCTGCACCAGGCTCTTCACTGGGGCTTGGCTCAGCTTTATGTTCCTCTCTGTGATCTGACTGTGTGCAGAAACTGAGGAAAAGTGAAGGTGAGGGGGGCTGTGCACCTCCTCTACTTCACCACCACGATTTCTAACTGTTGCTCTTGGGAGTTTGTAATTTTTTCTTCAGCAACGGTGTTTCCACACTCCCCCTGTTCAGTCCTTTCTACTCTACATTCCTGTCACTACAAAGGCTTTCCTATAGCTCAGGTGAGGACCTTCTGCTGTGCCTGGTCACTGACTCCTCATCCTGGCCACCAAGAGCAGACCATACCTATCCAGTGTATCACATCATCAAGATTTAAGGACTGCCGTGCTTTCTATGTGTTCTCTTTTCTGATCATCATTATTCCACTTGATTCGGTCTTTTCTGGCAGGTCACATCTTAGTCATACAATCACAGAATTGTTTAGGTTGGAAAACATCTCTAAGATCAAGTCCAACAATTAACTCAGCACTGCCAAGGCCACCACTAACCCCTGTCCCCAAGTGCCACATCCATATGGCTTTTAAATCCCTCCAGGGATGGGGACTCCACCACCTCCCTGGGCAGCCTGTTCCAATGCCTGAACACCAATTGGATGAATAAATATCCCCTGGTGCCACTTGAGGCCATTTCCTCTTGTCCCTTGTTCCCTGGGAGCAGAGCAGACCCCCCCTGGCTCCCCCTCCTGTCAGGGAGTTCCAGAGAGCCAAAAGGTCCCCCCTGAACCTCCTTTTATCCAGGCTGAGTCCCCTCAGCTCCCTCAGCTGCTCCTGTGCTCCAGCCCCTTCCCCAGCTCCGTTCCCTTCCTTGGACAAGCTCCAACCCCTCAATATCTCTCTTGTCTGAGGGGCCCAGAGCTGCTCCCAGAACTGAAGGTGCCCCAGCAGTGCCAGCACAGGAGGGTGGTCACACTTCTTGACCTCTTGCCATTTTCTGAGCTCCTTTGAGCCCCTTCTCTGCTTTCCTGAAGCACGTGGATGGTTGGATGTGCTTTCCAAGGGCTGTGCCCTGCATGGGTACGTCCTGTGTTTTCCAAACTTAGCTTTTGTTTGTACTTTTAGGACAATTGGTGCTGGTTTCCCCACACCTTGACATTGCTCTTTGGTGCCTACCTGTGATCTACTGCAACACAACGTTTCCCTGCAGAAACTCCGTGTTCTGTATTCTCCAGCTCATTATCCTTGTCTGTACAGACAAGGTAGTTTTCCCTATTACTTAATTATATTTTTTTCATTATCTTTTTAGCATGAGAAGATCCACTGGAATGCTAATCCTGTCCTCTGATGCTTTGCAGTCCTTTTCAGCTTCTTATTTTTGAATTTTTTAAGCTTTCTTATTAGATAGCCATGAAAATTATTAAGAAGGATAGCACTGGAATCACGACAGATTTCTGATCAGATGTGGTGTGGCAATTCATTACCTTGGCTTCATTTACATATTTGCCCACATCCCTTTTAATCAGCTTCACAGTCCTTTTTTGAAAGATTTCAGGCAAAATACTCAAGTTGGTCTTGGGGAAAATCAATGGGATAAAAATCAGGCCAAGCACTGGTCCTGCCCCTGGGTTGGGGTGCCCCTGGTTTGGGGCACCCCTGGTACCAGCACAAGCTGGGGATGCACAGATGGAGCAGCCCTGGAGAGAAGGACTTTGGGTGCTGGTGGGTGAGAGGCTGGACATGCCCTGGCCATGGGCACTCCCAGCCCAGAAACCCCCGTGTCCTGGGCTCAGGGGGGGTGATTCTGCTCCTCTGCCTCCTCAGGTGAGATCCCACCTGCAGAGCTGCCTCCAGCCTTGGGGAACAACAGCACAAGGATGTGGAGCTGCTGGAGAGAATCCAGAGGAGGCCACAGAGATGCTCGAAGGGCTGGAGCCCCTCTGCTCTGGAGCCAGGCTGGGAGAGCTGGGGGTGTTCACCTGGAGAAAAGAAGGCTCCACGGAGACCTTGGAGCCCCTTCCAGTGCCTAAAGGGGACTTATAAGAAGGCTGGAGAGGGACTTTTCACAAAGGCATAGAGTGACAGGACAAAAAGGAATGGCCTTAAGCTGATGTTAAGCTTAAGGGTTGGGTGGGATACTGGGGAGGAATTCTTGGTTGTGAGGGTGGTGAGGCCCTGCCACAGGTTACCCAGAGAAGCTGTGGCTGCCCCTAGATCCCTGGAAGTGTCCAAGGCCAGGTTGGATGGAGCTTTGACCAGCCTGGTCTAGTGGAAGGTATCCCTGAAACAAGATGGAGCTTAAGGTCCTTTCCATCTCAAACCATGCTGGGATTCTATTCCATGATTCTCTGAGCCTCACTGCCAGAGCACTGGTCAGGGTTGGATGCACCCTGATGGATCTGATACCTTGGTATTGTCCGTTGTGTCCATGCCTTGCAGAGATTATCAGACAGTGTCCAGAGCTTATCAGAAAGACTCCCAGACTGAATTTCTGCACCCCTGGGCAGAAACTTTGCTTCCTGGTGGCTCCATGTGTTCTGGCAACCACATCCCAGTAGCCGGATCTGGAGCAGGGAATGGTCCCCACATGCCTCCTGGAGCATGGACCTGCTGCCAGGTGCCTTTGTGAGTGGGACCAGCAGGTCGGGGTGACACTGAACACACCAGCAAACAAACAACACCTCTTTGGAGAGAGGTTTGCTCCAGTTTCTCCTCTCACCACACCAGTTGTGGCAGGAGTGCCACTATAAAACCCCGGGGCCTCCCAGGCCCCCCACCCCGGCCACCTCAGACACACTCCCGGGATCTCCCCTGGCCTCCAGCCATGAGGGTGCTCTGCCTGCTCTTTGCTGTGCTCCTACTTTTTTCCTTGGCCACCCCAGGTAAGACAGGGACTCGTGGAGGTGCAGAAAGTGGGGTGACCCTGGAGGCTGTGGGTACAGGTGGCTGTCTCCTCTCCAACCTCTGTGCCGGGGGGTGAGGGAGGTGGTTCATCTCACTCAGCTTTGGCAGTGAGGATCAGGTACCTGCAGGAAGCTCTGGTTGATGACTTATCCCACATATCTTTGGGTTTGGGATGAGATGAATGCCACACTGCAAATCGCATCTCTTCCACCCACTCATGCATAGAGTGCATTTTTAAGTTTTTAAGTGCCCAGTGGTCCCTCAGCTCAGTGGGGACAGAAGACGTGTCCTATTCTATGTGAGTCTAAAACCAAAGGTACCTGGTGCCTCAGCGCCACCTGGGAGCCAACAAGGAGATAAATTCAGAGGCTCTGCCCTCCTACACCCCCATAATTTCCCCTCATAACCCATCTCTGTCTCCATCCCTCTGCAGGGCAGGGGCAGCCCAAGAGCTCTTGTGACGGGTACTGCTCCTACTTGTGTGGAAAAACCGACGAGTGGACCTTAAGCCCCTCCTGTGGGAAGATGTACTGCTGCATCCCCTCACCCAAAAAGAGAAAATGATTGGGAAGGAGGAAGAGGAGCACTTGGGGTGGAGCTCCCGGGCACTGTGCTCACGGTG